CATTTACGATTATTATTATTATTATTATTATTATTATTATTATTATTACTGTTATCGTTGCTACATATTCATAATGTACAAACGAATCTATGCAACAAATTCGTTACGGATGATAAGAAAAAGTAAACGAAAAAAAAGAAAGAGTGAGAGACATGTCTGTTGCAACAATAACCTATTCGCAACAACGAAGCGAGTAATAAATAATTAATCGCGTTTTGCGAAAGATTTATATTGCTCGTGCCTCTTACGTTTGCGACCTGAGAAAGAAATCTATTAATTCCTTGTATAATTTTTTTTTTTATCGCGACTTCGCGCTCTCTTTCTTTGTTAACTCTTCTTTTCTTTTTTTTTTTTTATTGGTTATTATTTTTAATTAAAAAAAAATTCAAATATACGGGAGAGCTACTACAGACACGAAAGAGGTGAAAATAGTAAGAAATTCGATCATCGAATTATCCCGTCCTAACATTAAAAACACGAAGATAAATTTACATAAATACATGAATACATTCTTAGATTAATATTTAATAAGAGTGTGACATGCAAAAAGAAAAAATGAAGATGAAAATTTCCGAGAGTAATCGCATTGAGAAACGAGAGAGATAAAGGTAATTACCCTAATCACATTCATATACACTGAATAATGTAGCGGTATTATAGTGTGTATGCAATTATTAGAATGCGCATCGTCAATTTATTGTTATTGTTATTGTTTTATATTTGATTGTATTCTTCTCCCATTTGTTTTCTTCTTTCTTTTTGTTGTTTTTTTTTTGTTTATCTCTTTCGTAGCATTTTTGTCGTTTTCGCATTGGACGAGAACCGCACGAGTGTCGAACGAAAAGAAATACTTAACAGTTTCTAATCCGATCTCATTGAAATCTATATTGATTATTATTTGAAAAAAAAAAAAAAAATAAAAAGAGTAATTCTCTGTGTCTGTGTTCGCAAAGAAAGAGTCAGCATAAAAAAAAAAAAAAAACATATATAATGATCATACATATATATAAGATATTACGAGTGCCATATATAATAAATACGTTCGATTTCAAGTTAATACGCGAAATTAAATGAATTTTCGAGAGAGAAAGAGACACGAATGCGAAAGTTCAATGACGCGTTTGACCACATAGAAATATTTCTTTCTTTTCCGTTCGTCACGTCGCAAACATTTATTTATCATCATTATTGTACCTTTATATTTTATGATATATACATGTGTATATGTAATTATATATATATATATATGCATATGTAAACACACAAACATAATCTCGTATTGTGAGAAAAAAAAAATCCAGCACGTACAATCACGAGCCCTTAGCCAAAAATTATTTTTATTTAGTTGCTGGCAGCGTAATGTGAAATATCACAATCGGTGACGTTCTACGTTCGAATATATGTAATATAAATAAGAGAAAGAGAGAGAGAGAGAGTGAGTATGTGTATATATGCGTGTGTGTGTATAAAAAGCAATAATATTATACGTCGAACGTCGCCGTTTGATTGTCCTCGCCAACAACCCTGAACAACCTTACATCCAAACCTTCCTCCCACACACCACTAACCACCCTTCACATGAAATGCCAACGAATGGCATTTTTATGATTTTCTTTTATTTCCCAATCGTTGTCACATCGAGGAAGCATTTTATAAACAATATACAGAAAAAGAAAAAAATTGTACATCACATCTTTTCTTTTTTTTTTTTTTTTTTTTAGTTTTTTTTTAAAAAAATTCATGGATCCATGGATCGATTATCACATCTTTTTTTTTTTTTTTTTTTTTTTTCCGACTTTTTAAAAAAAGCTCCTCGAAGAGATAGACAAGGAGATAAAAAGAAAAGTCATGTACGATCGCTATTTTTTACGGATCATCATTTTGCATGCGTTGCGCTACACTTATATTTGTTGAACTTATTATTTTATATATATATATATATATATATATTAATTATTCGCATGGATCATTAATGATCAAAAAAGCGATAATAATATTTTATATATTTACGTTGACGATTTGTATGTATATATTATATATTATGTTAAATTGTACACAGCCATATCTATCAACGACTCGTGTCGATATATGTCTTTTTTTCCTCTTTATTTTTTATAAGTATTTAACCCAAATTCGAGACGATTTTCGTGAATTTTCTTCTCCTTTAAAAAACAAAAAAAAAAGGAAAAGGGTTTTTTCTTTTTTTATCCTCGAATTAATTCGACACGAGGACGTAGATCGAGACTAGAAACGAAATTCGCGAATGTGCGTGCAATGTCATTTTTAAAATGATTTTCAAGAGGATTTTACTATTATATATATAATAAAATATATATATAAAAATGTGTACGTTATGTATACATGTAACGTAGCTTTTACGAATTGTAAATATCAGTTTCGTGGTTTCGATCGAACGTCACTTTAAGTGTTTATCTTTTGTTTCTTCTTTAATATTATTTTATCTTTTTTTTTGTGCGACAAAGGAAATTTGAGGTATATCCAAAGTATATTATAATAATATATATATATATTTGTATGTGTATATTCGATGTTACACCGAGGAAGCATGCGCGAGCTCTTCTCACTGTAGCACGGCAAGAGTCTTTTAGCAGCTATGATTATTATTATTATTATTATTATTATTATTATTATTATTATTATTAATATTATTATTATTATATATTTTTTTAAGTTTATTTCGCGCGGGGTTGTCCCCCACCTCCCCAGCCCGTAATGTATGTTACTATGTCTCTGTCTTTTTTGTTTTTATAGGTAGACCTATCGTAATATGATTTCTATTATTATTATTATTATTATTATTATTAAAGTAGACATTTTTAATTATATGACCTAAAGAGACGCATAGAATTATATGTACACATGCATAACCACACAGAACACACACCAAACACAATTTATTAAATAATAGTATGATTTTACATTGTTTTGTTTATCCAACAATGGAGGTTTTCTTTTTCTTTTTTACAGAGCCAAATATTCTATACAAAATTATCCCATAACCCTTTCCAATTATCTTAACGAGTAGAAAAGAATGTAGTTTATATTAAGATTTTACGTTATCATTGATGTATATATGATATAAAACATTAATATATTTATGATTTTATCCTGCATCTTTATTATTATGCGTATTCAAATGAATTTAGTTTTGCACATTATTATTATTATTATTATTTTTTTTTTTTTATTTTAATTATGTTCGCAATTATTTGTTTTCGTAAGTTTTTGCAACACGCATTAAAAAAAGAACACATAGAATAGATGTCTTATATTTTATAGTTAACGAAAGGTCGTCAATTTTCTTGACAGGGAGTAAATATAATTATGTTTTAAATCTGAAACGATCGGCCCAATGTTAAGATAAGTTGACAAATAAAATAACAAGAAATCTTATCCGACGACCTATCGTTTCTGTCAATGTAGTTGCTAATGAAACAACAGTTGCAAAATAGTACGAGCAAATGTAGGAAAAAATGTGAAAGTGTATGTGCCTGTATGTATGCGAGTGTGCTTGAGTATGTATGCAGAATAATAATGAAATTATCGAAGGTATACTAATAATTGTCTTTTCACAGAATTTTCATCGTCAACACCGAACAAGTCAGAGTCGATGACGGAAACATGGAAGGAAAAGACACGAACGGCATCTTCGCATGGTTCGGGCAACAACAGCGGCGGGTCTCAAGCGGCCGATGGATTTTCTTCAGGTAGAAGCGGAGAACGTGGAGCGAGTGGTGGATCATCGTCAGGATCATTGGGAATGACTACGACAACCGGTACGACATCCTCGGCGATAATGACGACGACGACGACAAATACGACGATGTCTACGTCCACGTCATCAACGACATTGTTATCATCGACGTCATCGTCGTCGACTAGCAACACTGGGTCAAGTCCTATGGATACATCAGGTAGCAGGGCAGCTGCTGCTAACACACCAACAACCAGAGGCTCTTCATCCTCTGCGCCTGCTAGCGCGAGAAGTTCCCAAAGCAGCAGCAGCAGCAACAACAACAATAACATTCATAACAACAACAACAACAATAATAATAACAACAACAATAACAACAACAACAGTTGCACGCCAGTCGCTACGCCGAACTCGTCGACCAGCGGTAGTGGACAACAAAGTGGTACGGCTACCGGAACCATGTCCGCGCCTACCGGAAGACAGGTGCCCAAAAGACGCATGAGACGTCGCGCTACTTCACACTCACAGGATCCGGCTGAACAATTGACCGAGATGTCCGTGCGTGGTTTGAATCTCTTTCGTTATGCCTCGATATCGGAGGGAGTCTATCAGTGCACCGAATGTGCTAAACTCGATATTCAAAAGACATTCAAGAACAAATACAGTTTCCAGAGACATGCCTTCCTATATCACGAAGGCCACCAACGCAAAGTTTTCCCGTGTCCTGTATGCAGCAAAGAATTCTCGAGGCCCGACAAAATGAAGAATCATATGAAAACGGTCCACGATTGCTTCATGCCTAAGGATTGTGTCATGCCCTATAACTTTTTTTTCTCACAATAGCGGACGGCGGCGAGGCGAGGGCGAGCTGGGCCAAGCAGAGCGCAAACCGATGTTGGTGGTAGACAAGCAACAACGACGTCGAACAGGTCTTCGAGTAGTGAAACGACATCGAACAGGTCTTCGAGTAGTGAAATGACATCGGGAACTCCAATAAGTGTTCCCGGTCGTAAAAGAATTTCTGATAAGGGACTCAATAAAAGACGTCGTCTCTCTACCACCAATATATCTTCAAATAATAACCATGACGTATAAGTGCAACGTCGCGCGAATTTATTCATATACTTTTAAAATGATTAAAGTGGGGAATGATGGAGGGTATCATTAGAAAATTAAATAGGGAAATATATTAGATTATTCTAATAGAAATCTGCATAGATTTTTCTTATCTTTTATACGAAAACATTTTTTATTCGTTCGGGTATTTCTATTTAAAATGTTTTACCCTCTAGAATATCTTCGTATATGTACGAACAAACTTTCCAAATATTGTTTACATTTTTAAACTATAATTAATTGCACACGAATATCATGGATGCGTACAAATCTGACTCTCATACATTATTTTTATTCGGTTTGGTCGGTACTATTTCAAAGATACTTTTAGATTCTTAACTGTTATTCATATATTTCATTAAAAAATATATTTCCGGTATACATTCCCTTTTAATTCTTCCCTCCCTCTACCCCGTAATTGCACTAATATCGCACGATGCTGCACAAGCGCTCTGTCTTTCGTAAAAACATCAGCCAGCGTACGATGATACGCTTTGGACCAATCACCGAAAGACAATAATGTCCGGTGATGGCGATGACCTTGAACGGCTCACCTCACCCCCGCCATCGCCACTCAATATAACTGTCATGATCATGATGTCATACATGGGATTTATGCGAAGGAGATGTTTGTTCTTTCATTATTTCTATTTGTTTTTTTCCTTGTTTTCTTATTTCCCTATTTTAATTCTATTTTTCTACGTGTTGTCTATTATTTTGAGAAATTGTTCTAATAGATTGATAATAAAAAAAAACGAAAATATTATTCAAAAACCGCGTAGATTCGTCAACGTTCTCAAAAGTTTGCCCATTTTGTGCAATATTGACCAATGCTAGCAAGATCTAAGCTGAATCTGCTTTGATTCGGACGCAAGAATTTATTTTTTCTTTAATATTATTATTATTATTATTATTATCACATTACTATTCTTACTACTATTACTATTATTATTATTTGTTTTATTTCTAAGATACATACGTGCATATTTATATACTCTGACGTAATTCTGACGCGAATCATGCTCGCATTTATGCGTTTGAACTTTTATTCGATGCGTTTTTGCTTGATACTTGATGAAACAAAAGACAAGCCAATGATTTTGTTATGTCCGTCCTTTTCGATTGGTCCTACATCGTGCCTTACAAACATTTTTTCTTTTTTCTTATATTCTTCAAGGGGTAATCGAACAAAAAATATACATGTCTTCCCGATCGGTCGACTCGTTGGAATATTCATTATTATTTCTCTTAAATATTAAAATCAATTTCCATTAAAAAATATCAAGCATAGTTTGTGGAATGAAAAATTTGTTTGATTTGCTTTTTTTTTTATCAATTTCTAATTCGATCACAACCCTGTCACTGACAATTCTGCTTGTACACATTAATATCATCTTTCTTTATTTTTCCGTTCTCCATTTCCGCATCTCAGTATCGCATCAAGATCATCGTGAACAAGATGATGATGATAGTCCACGACAGTTCCAATTTAAGAGAGAAAGAGCTTATTTTGCTTTACCTCTCATCTTCCACTTCTTTTTATCTTAACGTCCAAGAAAATTCAAGTAAAAATAAAAAAAAATATATTTTAACGGAAGTGCCTTAGTACACATATCCGTATTCGAATAGTAGTCATTTAGAAATCTTTAACCCTTTGAACTGCGATGCATAATTTCGCATTAAACCATGAATATATATATGCGCGATATTCGTTTTTCGGAAATCGTTATGCTCATTTATTTATCATTCTTTATGAAGAATGTGTATTAACGCCTTTCGTAGTCAAAGGGTTCAAGGACATATCTTAGATTAACATATATTTTGATAATCGAAATAAGTTAGATAGATGATTAGAAAAATATACGAATATATATATATATTTTTAGATTTTCATTTTCTTTATACATTATCGTTCAAAATTATTTTAAATAATAAAATAATAATAATAATAAAGAAAATAATGTAAAAGAGAGAGAGAGAGAGAGAGAGAGAGAGAGAGAGAGAGAGAGAGAGAGAGAAAGAGAGAGAGAATAAAATTAAATATAGTAAAAAATACGTAATAAATTTTTCTAATAAATCAAAACAGAAAATTGCCACTTTTCATGATTACATATTTTTGACATCCTGATTAACTTTTACAATCTTTTGAAAGTAATTTACTTTCAAAATACAACATAATTATTTATTTTTTAAACAAACCATTGGTTTTTATTATTCTTCAATATGTTAAAATAATTTTGACCGGTAATGTGTATATATATGTATATATACATAGATAGAGAAAAGAAAAAATAATGTTTGTTAATAAAAAATCAACAAGTCTTTACTAAGAAAGAAAGAAAGAAAGAAAAAAAAATATATA